ACGGCAGTAAAACTTTGGTTTGGATAAGTATTAGTCAGTTTGAATGATTGTAAAAGGGATAATATGGGTAATTGAGAGAGAAGATTAGCCATTGAGACAAGGAACTTCAACCATGATTCTAGGAGAGACAGTTTGGGATGATATTGAAAGACTTGGGTGAACATAGGAAGTAAGAAACATTTGTGGGATGCAAAAGAAATGTATTAGACAAATACATATAAGGGCATGTTTGGAATGCCTGCGTGAAAGATGGTGAGAGAAAGTCCTTTTTCATGGCAAAAAGAAGTAATGAACAAGAAAGGACTACATATTCAAATAAATAAAAGTAGATCACCCAAAATCCATTATTGATCCCAGAGGAAGCCTAAAAGTTTTCAAATGGTCAACATTTAGTAGCACATTATAAATTTAAAATTGCTAGTAATCATGGAGATGCTCCTGTCTGCATGGTGTCCTGTACATGATTCGACTTGATAATGGACACATTGATAGAAGATTTGGGAAATGCAATGTCGAACTGCAGAGCAAGTAAGCCACAGTCAATAGCTACTTGGCAGTTGCCTAGCATGTTTCCTAGATGAAGTTTGTACCCCCTGACCTATTCCTTGATCACAATATTGTTTTGAAGCCCATGGCTCCTTCGGAGGTATCTGGGTTATGTGGGACCCAACCCTCTAAACTCTTATTGCTTCCCATGTAGGAATTTTCTCTAGGTATGTGACCTTCTCTAGACTTATCAATGGATTTCCCTTGGAAGCATATTGCTGTTTATGGGCCTAATACTAACTCACTGAAAGACCTTATTTGGGAAGAACTCGACCTAGTTGCCTCTTAGCCCTCGTCCACTTGGTGCATTAGAGGTTTTTTCAATGTTACCAAATGGTCATTTAAGTGCAACCCAACCCTAGGATATCCTAGTCCATGCTTGACTTTTCCGACTTTGTAGCCAGGAATCACATTCTCGACCTCCCCCTTCCAGAGGACTTCACCTGGTGAAACCATTTTGCCAACCTTTCACTGTCAAAGCTTGACAGATATCTCGCCACCCTCGATTGGGACCATGCCTTCCTTGGCACCTATGCCCTAACACTTCCCAAATCGACATCTGACCACCATCCCATTATCTTGGGTACTTTGCCTGCAGGGCAAAGCCCTAAAACTTTTCGATTCGAGCTAGCTTGGCTCGTGCAATATCTCATCCCTCATCCCATCCTGGTGGGAATCCTTTTCACACCAAGTACTTGGTTTGGCAGTTTTCGCCTCTAATAGAAACAACTCCTCAAAGTTGCTTTCAAAGACTAAGATAGCCAACTTCCTAGTTAAAATCGAGCCTAGAAGGAAGACCTAGTGTAATCCATCCAGTCCTGGGATTCCATTGAGGAGAGTCGTGCACTGACGCTCGACGAAAGTAATCAAAGAGCCCCATCCAAATTAGGCTACCGGCTTCTCCTACACATAGAAGAAATTTTCTGGTCCCAATGGTCCAAGGTCAAATGGCTCAAGTATGACGACCTCAATAACATTTTCTTTCACAACACTGTTGGATTCAAGGATGTATTTATAATTCATTCTTCTCAATACTTATCAACAATACCCCAAAGGGTTACTTTCCCTCTTCTAGAGGACTTAGTCTGGAAGTTCCATACTCATCCTTCTTGTTTGCGATAGTTGTGGAGGTCCTTAGCAGGTCCATATACCGGATGTATCAGAACGGCCTCCTCAGAGGCTTCATGATTTGGAATCAAGGTCCGAAAGTCTCTCTCCTCCAACGTGCTGACAACACCCTCCTCTTTTGGGACACCACCCCCCAATCAAGTGGACTCCCAACGTCTCTTACTTAAAAGCTTTGAAATGGGTACCGGCTTTAGAGTGAACATGGAAAACTAAAAACTGATTGGAGTTTCCACCGCAATGTTGTTAGTCACCTTGTGAGTAGATGAGCATGCACAGTAGACCACTTAACATCACCTGGGCTTGTCGCTTTGCGTTGGTAAGCCTAAACAGAGGCAATGGAGCCATATAATTGACAAGTTCAACTGGAGGCTTGCAGGATGGAAGGGGAGTTCCTTATATCTGCGGACTGCATAACCCTCAAGGCAACCCTCTCGAACATCCCCATTTTCCAAATGCCTCTCTTTTACATACCCTGATTGGTAGCCACCTGTCTTGAACAACTAATGAGAAATTTCCGTTGGTCGGGAGAGGGAGGAAGGTAATACTATAGTTGTTGGAAATGTCTGTGATTCCAAATTGTTTATGGAATCAGAATTGCGTGTATCAAAAGATGGTCTCATTCTATACTTTCCCTATATATATATATATATATATATATTTAATTGAAGTCCTTTACAATGTGTAGGAATATGATTTAGAAAACTTTCAAGTCAAAGAGATCCCCCTAGGTCCATAATTGGCACTTGGTCTAATTTGTACAGTTTTAGCTCACAGGCTTTCCAAATTCTTGTATGTGTCTGTGTGTGTGAAGCGCATATGCGTGTGTCATTTTTAACTGATTTCAGAGAGGATGTGAACTGTGCTTTCAACTGAAAATGCAATTGCTTCTTTTTGGGCAATGTCTTTCGGAAAGCTATTTTTCATCATTTAAAAGTGTATAGTCGGCCCCCATACACACACAAAAGCCATTGGATGTGCACTGTAGCATTAAGGTTCTGCCTCCATGGAGTCTTTGACTTTAGGCTCTAGAACGTCTTCTATGATTATATTCATCTTCTATGATATATGTCAAACAGCAGATGGTCTTGGGGTACTAAAGGAAATAAGTTGAAACTAAGCTTTGGAATAACCCTCTGTGCTGGTTTACCCTATGAGAAGACTAGTAGGTTTGAAGATTTGAAGTTTTGAACTATATGTGGCAGGCTTGAAATCTTTGATTGGGTTTTACACATTCTGATCCATGAAATATCTGTTTCCCCGTCTAATCGCGTTGGAGCTTGAGGGTTTCTGTTGAAACTTGTATTTTTCTTGTCTTTTCTCATTCTACAAAATCCAAAGTAGCCACAGCCTTGATCTTACAAAGGCAATTTCTCTCTATTGGAAAAGGAGCAGTAGCCAGCATGTCATGAGGTTTGCCCAATCCTAGTCATCAACCATTTTGTGTAGAAAGGTTTGACGAAATTCCCCCGAACTTCTTTTATTGGACGGGCAATGTAGCAGATAATGTTCTGTGCATTCCTTGTCTTCTTTACACGTCACAATCTCTGGAGGTGGTTACTGATAAATATCACCGCTACCCTTGGCAAAACTATTAAAAAAAAGGAAGCATTCTGTGTGATTCCAGAAATATCCTTGAATTCATGTTTTTTAAAACAGGACTTGACCACCCGGTTGAAATGGTAGAATGGAAACTGGTACCAAAACAGCTCCAGTTTGTTATGAAAGCACTTCCTTGTTTTCCTTTAACCTGATTGAAGTATTTGAAGTGGGTTCAACCAGCAGGTTGAGGTGGTGAACCGGCCAGTTCAACTAGAAAATTTACCAAATAACCCATTTCTTTATTTTTTATTTTATGTAAATCAAAATCTTCAAAGCATTTGGGCCAGTCGTTAAACCAGCTTGATTGAACCAGTCACTTTTCCAGTTCTACTTCTTGTCAGGTTAATAAGCAAGGGCGAATCTGAAAGAAAGTTTTGATTATGATCATGCTTGCATTTCAAGGATGAAGACATTCTTTTCTATACCAGCCTGAGGTACAAAGACTTCTTTGAGACCACCTAACAGCCTTTACTGCATGCTGAAAACAGTCTGCCTGCTTAAAGCATAGACCTCTGCACCTGCCTTCAAATATCCTCGGAAGAAGGGAAAATGCACTCCCTGATTTTAATTATGCTATCATCCAATACTCATTTCCCTTTTTTTTTTTTTCAGTAAACGGGCCTGCGTGTTTCTCCTTGACTCTTTCTCCTCGTCCTCCACAGTGAGATCCCCAACCTACCTACATGGCCAAATGTCACTGGATTGCTTGGCTTATCTGTGTTTCGATGTTTTCTACACCATTTTTGTTTGCAGCAAATAATTTAAGTCACCTTGTCTGTTTTGCTGTAGGAGCTGCTGAAGGGCGGTTATGTTTGTCTTTTTACTTATTCTGTGCTTTAGATAGTCTTCTTTTCCTAATTATTTGTTACAAAATTATTGGGAGATACTATTTAGTTCTGTTACCATTTCAAGATGAACCCCGTTGAATTTCCAATTTCACCCTAAAGACAATTGGACTATCTTCGTATGTTGGGGATCCTTGTGCACTAAACAAACTTAATAACTACTAAGTGTTTGTGATTCATAAGAGAACATGTGATCACGTCTCTGGATTTCATAAATACCTCTAAAAGGCAAAAGACAATGGTACAGATGGCTTTATCATTTGTATGTCGCTCCATATTGTGAATTTAATGCCTTATTTCCATATTTGCAAGATCTAGAAAAACTGAAATCTTGAATAGGCAATCTGGGTTTGATCTAGGTATCGATTGGTTTCTAAGAAAAGGTGTTCAGTCTGTTTTAAGTATCAGAGAATTTTCATGTCATTCATGCATTGTTGACAATGCTTGCCACACGTGATTTGGGACGTGTTAGAACTCGGAGCATCAATTTTAAAAAGTTCTGCTTTGATGCAGTGGCATGAGCAATGGGCTCATCATATACTGATTTCTGACTACTAGTGAGCTTTTATGCAAGATCCAAAGTTTTGATGCATGGTTGCATGCAATTATTCTAGTGGAGTGGGCACCAGGCAGGGTAAGTACAGCATCATTCCTTTTTTTGCATTTATTAGCATTTGTGTATGTTAGTGCTGAATGTTTCAATGCGTGCTATTGCTATATATTTTCGTAACACGTTGCTATTGTAGTTCTGAAAAGGTTCTCATCCTTTCCTTCTTTTGTTTCTTTATATTTGCTTTATTTATAAATGATAGGTTTGTGTTATTGCTATCTGTCTCCTTAAAAAGTTCATGTTGTAGTCCTAATCAGAAGTAACACTTGCAGATAATGTTAAGGCCAAAGCAGCTTGGTCCCCTCTGCAAGGGTGCTCGCTCATTTATTGTCAGTGAGTCGCGAAGTAGTACGGTAGATGGCCCTCCACCTACGTCTTCTGAAGATGAAAACTCCCACTCAAGGCATCAACCTAAACACTCCTTATCTTCTATGAGGCAGCTGTTTTTCCATAGAATTTCTCCCTTTGCATGTCCAACTTCTGAGAAAGCAGGAATTTTGGTCTCTAAAGGAACGACTCCTACCACCGATCAAAGAGACCAAAGTCATAGCACTTCACCTAAGGTGTCAGATGCTCTATCATCATCTCCAAAAGGTGCAAGTTTCCTTGTCTATGGCGATGCTTGTGATTCTTCCATTCCAAAGGATTCAGTCTCAACAGCAATGTCAATATCTGAGCAGTTTATTAAGGCTGGTCTTACCACTATTGAGTTTTTCTCTGACTTGGCAAATTTCAGAGTCCCGAAGCTCGATGGCAGTGGCCTACTTGTTATGCCTTCAAATTCCATGGTTGATACCAATAGAGCTGTGTCTAATTGTTCCAAGTCCTCACAAGGCAAGTTGCCTTCTTCTAAATCGGCCCCTTTTTCTGGTCGGCCACATAACATAGATAACTCAGCTAATGTATTAGAGAGATCAACAAGTCCTGTGCAAAAAGTTGACAAGAGGGGCTCCCTTAAGGCCACCAGTACAGTTGAGGCATTTCAGCATGTTAATCATAATGATAACCACCCAACAGCTTCTAACCATAGACAGAGGACAAAGGGCCCCCACTCATCATCATACAAAGTGAAGAGCCCATCAAATTCGGGGACCGGTGGTGGGGACTGGAAAGTTGCAGGTAACAAAGAAACCAAGGGAAGGGTCAATTTTGTTGGTAGTGGAGACAAGGTGTTTAACCATAACCATAATTATAACCTTGCCATGCCAAAGGGGGTTGTAAATGGTGGCGGTAATGTTCGATTCTCACCTATGAATTCTGGGATCACAGTGGAGCAAGCTTTTCACATTCTCGAATGCCAGAAATGGGGAGCAGCAGCCGAAACAGCCCTTGCGAATCTGAAGGGCACTTTGAATGCGTACCTCGCAAACCAAGTCCTCAAGAGGCTGCAAGGCCACCAGGACTCAGTGGCTCTCGGCTTCTTCTACTGGCTTAAACGCCAGCCTGGTTTCAAGCATGACGAACACAGCTACACCACCATGATAGGCATCCTTGGGCGTGCCAAGAAGTTCAGTGCTATGAATAGGCTCCTTGACGAGATGTCGAGAGATGGGTGCACACCCAATGTGGTAACCTACAACCGCCTCATCCACTGCTACGGTCGTGCAAATCACCATGCCGAGGCTGTGAAGGTCTTCTATCAGATGCAAAAGTTGGGAATTGAGCCTGACCGTGTCACCTACTGCACCCTTATTGACATGCACTCCAAAGCCGGGTTCCTCGATGATGCCATGGATATGTATGCTAGGATGCAGGATGCAGGCCTCTCTCCTGATACCTTCACATACAGTGTCATTATCAACTGTTTGGGCAAAGCTGGGCGCCTTGCATCAGCTTACGGGGTTTTCTGTGAGATGGTCGAGCGAGGCTGTGTTCCCAACCTTGTTACTTATAACATCATGATTGCGTTGCATGCTAAAGCGAGGAATTACCCCACTGCATTGAAGCTGTATAGGAACATGCAGGCAGTTGGCTTCCGACCTGATAAGGTGACATACAACATCATCATGGAGGTGCTCGGCTGCTGCGGGTGTTTGGAAGAGGCAGAGGCGGTATTTGCAGAGATGGAGCACGAGAAGTGGACCCCGGATGAGCCGGCATATGGGCTCATGATTGACATGTGGGGGAAGTCAGGGGATGCCGACAGGGCATGGGGTTGGTTTGAGGCCATGCTGCGAGGGGGCCTGCATCCAAACGTCCCAACATGCAACTCCATGCTGAGCGCGTTCCTTAGGGCGCAGCGGTTCGCCGACGCACTCACCTTGCTTGATGCCATGCGCATGGTTCTTGGCCTGCAACCATCACTACAGACATATACTCTGCTTTTGAGCTGCTGCACAGATGCACTGCTCACACGTAGCAATGTGGGTGCATGCTTGGAGTTGATGCTGGTGGCAGTGGCAGGGCACCCGACACACACATTCCTGTTGCACCTTCCTGGGGCAGAGCCTGGTGGTGGGAACATCCGGGAGCATGCGGGCGGGTTCCTCGATGCAGTTAGGGCCGAGGAGAGGGAAGGGAAGAGAGGTTTGGTGGATGCGGTGATCGATTTCTTGCACAAGGCAGGGCTCAAGGAGGAGGCGGGGTGGGTTTGGGAGGCGGCAGTGCAAAAGGAGGTTTATGCTCAGGCTGTGAGGGAGGAGAGGCCTCTTTGGTGGGTGATCAATCTGCACATGATGTCGGAGGGTACAGCGGTGACGGCATTGTCAAGGACACTGGCATGGCTGCGGCGGGGCATGCTGGAGTCAGGGGTGGGCCCCAGGCGAGTGGACATTGTGACTGGTTGGGGGAAGCGTAGCCGGGTGACAGGATCGTCTTTTGTGAGGCAGGCAGTACAGCACCTGCTTTGCTCATTTGGCTTCCCATTCCTCATGGAGAAGGGAAATTCGGGATGTTTCGTGGGGTGTGGGGAGCCGCTTGGCAGATGGTTATCTCATTCCTATGTTGAGCGTATGCATCTCTTGTAACAGTAGTTCGACGTGCATGCCAGGATCAGAGGCAGTCGATGTCAATGCCTGGTGCCACCGAAGAAAGGTTTGTGCAAGGTTGAAAGATAACTTGCTCTTTTCTTCTTTGGTTAAATATTTACTTGTGTTGCTCTTATGCCATTGTATTTATTCATATGCACATGTGCACTTGTGGGGAAAAGTTTTGCTGGTTTCTTATCCCACACTCTGAGTTTGTTGTGTAATGGAATCCTATCCAGCCCGTGTGATGCACGGGCATAGAGTGTGATTTTATTACATTTTTGTAAATTTTTATGTTTTAGAAGTGATTTTTTATTTTATTTTTAACTCACGTGAAATCTAGATATAAATGGATTACATTTTAGGTAATTTTTTTTTTTTTTTTTTAACTCACATGAAGGTTTCTATACTTAGCTCTTCAACTTCTTTCATTATTTTTAGCATTTGCTTTGCGCATTTTTCTCACGGCTTCTGGACACTCTTAGATGAGAATGGGCTAGGGTTTTGGCGGTAGTATTACCGAGTTCCATAATGGACTCCATTATCACCAAAGGTAGGGGCTCAATTCTCTTTGGTTTACCATTTTTTCACTTAGGGGCTTAAATCCCCATTAGCTTACCAGTTTTTCACTTACCTCTTTTTTTATCTATCTATTTATTTATTTGACGCTTTTAGATGGAATCAAGAACAACCTTTTCTACCAAAGTTTCACTATGAACCTCTAGAGCGTGGAATTAATCTTTGGCGAGAACATATTTCTTTTTTAGTTAAGGGTATATATTTCTAGGAAAAAGTTTATATAACAGTGAGGCTCTAAACAATCAAATTAGGGTGCACCTAAAAGATTTCACTAGAAGTCGTTGTTTTGATGCCCAAATATCATCAAATTGTTCATCTCGACCTTAAGATGTATGAACTTGAGAAAAAAATAGATTTCAAGTTTTGAAAATTGTGCATCTTATAATGCATTTTTTGAATTCTAAAGATTTTCAAAAGTACCTATAAAAACTATCAAGATTTTGAAGTTTTCATAGATTTACTTGATCTACACTAGTTTTTAAGCTTTAAATATATTTTAAGGCCATCACAAAGATTTTGAGTATTGAAATCACAAGTCTCAATACTATTTGAAGGTGTCCTCTACTTTGATGGTTTACGACCTCAGCTCGGTACAAAATGCATCCATATTTCTATATATTGCAGTTGCTGGAGATAGCCATCAATGTTCCAGAGTAGGAGGTCTCCATTCATCATACTACCTTGTCCATCTTCTGGCGTGCCAGACTTGGAAATGGCTATATGATCACAATTCTTCTATTTAGTTATTTTTTAATACTGTTCGAGCGAGACCAATTCTTCATGATCAAAATGTGGAGAAAGGGGTTTCAATCACCCTTTTAGATGTTATTTTCATTAGGGATCTCGCGAATTTTTGAGAAATTTCTCTCCTGTGATGAAGTAATCCAAGTGCATCCTTCAGTAGATGGGATTGTATATCTAGAGGGTTTATTGGTGCTTTCTAGAGAGTTAAATGTGACCTTTGGTTATTCGATTGTTTACTCGAATCAAAAGATGTGGAATGCCACAATCCTAGGGCCGAAGGGTATCCAATCCTTTTATGCATCATGAATACAAATGTGAATTCCCCCCCAAAAACTACTCTCAACTAATGTTTTTAGTTGAAAGATGACATTTCTATTCCACAATCCTAGGGCTGAAGGGTATCCATTCCTTCTAGCATCATGAATACAAATGTGAATTCCCTCCCCAAAAACAACTCTCAACTAATGTTTTTGATTTGAAAGATGACATATTTCAAGTAAAAATGTGATAGGTTTTCTATTCTTTATCTCTAATCTGTAGCTGATTCTGCATATTTTTCCAATCCTAGTTATTCCTTTTCCTTATGGTTGGAAAGGAAAAATGGGGCTTCAAGGTATCCCAGAGGATATTCATGGAGTGTATAGACGAGTAGTTGGGCGATATAGGGAGTCCCATGTTATTTTTGATGATGAAAACCTGTTATCTTTGTGAACAGAGGAGGTGAATGACTTTTTCAGCGAGTCAAGGGCCCAAGAAGGCCTGGTTAGAAGTCATTCAGGGGCCTCTAGTAATGCCAGTGATATCTAAACCGTCGTATGTGGGAGTCCCTAGGTGTCTGTATGGTCTCCCTCCTCTTCTCACTTTTTTTTTTTCTTGACAATATTTCACAATTTTATTGTTCAAAGAAGGTTAGTATCAATTTAAATAAAAAGAATATCCGAAGTAAGTAGTAATGGAGGGCAACACTTCTTTGCGCACAAGAATCAACCACATCATTAGCCTCTCTGTAAACTTGTATGTATGTGACACAAACTATTTTCAATATCCAAATAGCCAACCAAAGTAATCTCAGTCTCCACGGAGGCCTTGAAATATTATTGCACCAGTTAATAACATTCAGAGGGTCCTCATCAATAACACACTGTTGATGAAATCCTCTATCTTTTAGTATTTTCATCCCTTGCAAAACTGCTAAAATTTTTGCTTAATTTGCTGTTTTCTCACCACAACGGCCGGAAAAACAAAGCATGATCTCTCCATTAGAATATCTCACTACTCCCCCCCCCCCCCGCCCGCACCAGCTTGTCCTGGGTTGCCCAACTAGCTACCACCAAAATTCAATTTAATAAAACCCTTTGCCGGTGCTTCCCGAAATTCTTTGATGAGAGTAATTAAAATTAAGATTAACACAATTGATTTAACAAACATATGTTGTTTGTCTTCAAATGCCCAATCACATTAATTATTGTTTATATAGATGGATGGCAACCATGCTCCCTATTATATTTCTCAAATATTTTATTTTACAAAAATGCTTACCTAAATAATTGGAATGAGACTTCGATGATGATGAAGATGCTGATTTTATTATGCAAAAATACTATTTATTTCTATAAAAAGTAATAATCATTTCATTACTAAAGATAATGATATTTTTTCTATGTTTCAATAAACTGAACCATGTAGAACCCTCTATTCGACTACCACCTACTTCCTTACAACCAAAGTTTCAAATATATTACCCGCCATAATTGGTTTTTTTCCTCATTTAAAATAAAAAGAATTTCATTCTATCTTGCATGGCGCAATCCTTAGAGAATATCACCTACAAATACATTATCGGTTGGTGTTTCATAAATACATACAATCTTAAAGGAAGAATATTTATGAATTAATCGTCAACATAAACGAGTTTTATCTATGTGAACAGAGGAGGTGGATGACCTTTTCAGTGAGTCAAGGGGCCAAGAAGGCCTGGCTAGAAGTCATTCAGGGGCCTCTAGTAATGCCAGTGCACGATGTCTAAACCGTCGTTAGAGGAGTCCTCATGTGGGAGTCCCTAGGTGTCTGTATGGTCTCCGTCCTCTTCCCAGGTTTTGTTTTAGGAAAATTATAAACCCCCCACCCCGCAGAAACAGTTATTCTATCAACTTACCCCTCACCTATACTTTCCTCACTATCTTTTTTTAAAACCCATCTTTCGTAACAAATACCCCCCCCCACTTAAAAGGAGTACAAAATTAAAGACCATACTACCCCTCCCTTACCGTACCTTTTTTATTTTTCACTCTCTCTCTCTCTCTCTCTCTTCACTCTCTTCACTGTCTTCACCGGCACTCTCTCTCTCTCTTCACTGTCTTCATCAGTGCTCTCTCTTTCTTCATTGTCGTCACCGGCGCTCTCTCTCACGATTTACCCACCGCTCTCTCTCTCTCTCTCATGATTTACCATCGCTCTCTCACTCACGATGTACCCATTTTCACTGGTGCTCTCTATCACGATTTACCCATTTTTTACTAGCGCTTTCTCTCACGATTTACCCATCATAGGTAAAAAACCAGGCTCTCTCTCTCTTCACGATTTACCTCTCAAACCAGACTGTGGTGCTCTCACTCTCTCTCTTCACGATTTACCCCTTAACCAGGCTCACTCAAACCAGACTGAAGCAACCGAGCTCGATTTTACCCCTAAATCAGCCCACATGTACGAAAAGGCGTTTACTATTGTAAAAATAAAAAATAAATTACTGTCCTCTCTATAAAAATAAAAAATAAATCGGGCTAGTGGTTTCTATATAGTTTTCTCTTTGATCCCATATGTATTTTAACTTTTGTGGATTTTATTTAGGTAAATTGTTGATGATTTATATTATGTGATATGCTTTTCATGGCTAGATAGATTCTTCGTGCATGTATTGAATATTTAAATCAGAGAGCATAAATTGATCCGAGAGAATGAATTGAATCCATGTGTATTTGTTTTTCAATCTTGATTATCCACTTTGTTAAAATTATCTAAAAGAATAGATATTGGTTAGATAATTGTAGCTCTTTGAAAAAAAAATCTAATAGCTTGCTAAACTTTCACAAGTTCAAGGCTAGTATTAAGATCTTGTAATGCAATGTGTGGAGTGTAAATTATTATAAATATTGTGTAGGACAAAAAAAAAAGGGTGATAACAGATTGGGTTATTGTATTTTTAGTGAAGAACTCCGATCAAATGTCGATGGGACTTTGGATTATATTGGTGGTGATGCATGTACATTTATAATTGACAGTAATACTAGGTTAGATGACATGAGAAAATAAGTAGCAGAGCGGTTCTCACTTGACATCCACTTAATGTCTTTGAGGCACTTTGTCTTGAGAAATAAAAGATTTATTATGAACCTATTAAACGATGATGATACTATTAGGATGTTGAACGCCCATGAAGGTGAGAATGAAATGCTTGCTTATGTATTTGATGGAAGTGAATATAGGAATGGAAGTATTTCACATAATATTATGGCAGTCGAAGATGTCAGACCCCCACAATCCTCTAATGTTTTAGTCTCTGTCTCTAAACAAAGCATTGCACCAAGGGTGTTTAGCACATGAGAGAAAGCACTTTCTGAGATAGAGCAACAGTTTGAATCTTTAGAAGATTTTTGAGAAGCCCTTAACAAGTTTGCAATAGCAAATCATTTCACATATCCTCTAGTTTAAAATGAGGTGTATCGCATAAGAGAAACATTTAAGGGTGAAGGATGCAAATAGGAGATATATGCTGGGAAGCTTGGAAAGACAAATGTTTTCATAATCAAAACATGGATAAGAAATCACTCATGCACTATTGGGACAAGCAATGATGTATAGAGAAGAGCTTCTGAGAAATTTGCTGTATCCTTAATCAAGGTTAAATTAAGTGACACTACACATTACAAGGCTAGAGAAATCATGAGTGATTGTTTCAAGATTATGGGTTAGAATTACCCTATTAGAAGTCTTGACATGGAAAAGAAACGCCCATCA